GTACTTACTGACAGTTGTTAGCCACCATGTGGGTGCTGGGAATCAAACCTTGGTCCTCTATGAGAACAACCAATGCTCTTAACCACCGAGCTCTCTGTGAGCTTGAGGACAGCCTGGTCTACATAGCAAGTTCCAGGCCAACTGGGACTACAGGAAGACCCTATTTCCCCCAAAAAATTGTTAGGCTTCGGTATTTCTTTAGTCATGAACAGTCTCCCTCCTCCCATTGGTCTCAAGAAACAGGATCTCCTCATTTTGTTAGCAAGTATTTCTAGGATGCAGCAGTGAATAAAAAATGGCCTAGCCAGGTATGGCAAAGCACCTGTAACTCATTCCATCACTTGAGTAACTGAAGCAGGACAATTAAAAATCCAAGGCTAGCCTGGGATACATAAGAGGACCCTATCTCAAAGAAAATGTAGAAAAATAAATAAATTAAATAAATGAATGAAAGAAAGAAAGAAAGAAAGAAAGAAAGGCATTTAATGGGACATAAATTCACTTCCTAAAGCCACGCCTTTGAGAGGCACAGCGCAGCATTAGATTAAAATGAGAAAACACTTTGGTCAGAATTCACATGCTAGTTGTATTGTATATACAGTTGAATTTTCATAGCTATGCATTCCATATTTTTGGATTCAATCGACAGCACATCAAAAACATCTTAAATACAAAAATACTGAAAATGTACAAATTTCTTTGTCATTGTTCATAAATAATAGAGTATCAAATATTTACATAGCATTGATATTATAGTAGGTATTATAGATAATCTATGCAAATAGTCTAGAGCATCTGTGGATATTGGTACCCTCTGGGGACTGGGGGCCTGCAACTGATCCCTGATGGATATCCAGGTACAATTAGCTCCCTAAAACAAGATTACTTGTGAAATAAGCTCTGATCAGTACCTTTTCCTCATTTATTGAGTCTGTTTATTAAGTTTCCAGATTGAAAGCCCAGTGTTAGATAGCAAAATACAAATCTAGCCTTGTCGACCAGACAAAGAAAGAAGAGAGTGCTGAGGATGTAGCTCAGTGATAGAACACTTGCTTAGCATGTGTGAGGGCTCTGGGTTCAATTCCCCAGCAAGCGAAAGGAAAGTTGAAGGAAAGAAGGCAGGAGGAAGGTATCTTAGTTTCTTCTCTGTTGCTGTAATAAAATACCCTGACAGAAGCAGCTTAAGAGAGAAGGGGTTTATTGTAGGTCACGGTTGCAGGACAGTCAAGGCAACGGGAGCTTGAAGCAGCTGGTCACATTACACCTGCTGTCAAGAGCAGAGCATTATGAAGACATGCTGCTGCTCAGCTCCCTTTCTCCATTTACACAGTCCAGGATCCCGGCAAGGAATGGTACCATCCACAGTGTGTTGGATAAGCCCCCACAGGCACACTCAGAGGCCCATCTTCTGGGTGATTCTAGACTGTCAAGTTGACAACTAACACTGATCAGCACAGAGGGAGGGAGACAGGTAACACCTAACTCCTGAATTTAGTTTTACCCAGAGTCTTGGAGTCATACTTCTGTGCCCAAAAAAGGAGTTTAGCACAGCTCAGGCTTAAATCTATTAATAGAGCACCTAATTTCTGCAAGAGTTCTAAAACCAAGACACTAAAAACATGATGAAAAAAATTGAAGTACAATCTCCATCCTTGATCTGCTGGGCAAATTGATGAAAAAATTGATTCCTTAATTCTAGAAAGTCCAGAGTGCTACAGGACTGTGAAGAAAAGGTTCAGAAAAGTATCATGAGACAAAATCAAACCATCATGAAGGAGGAATGGGACTATATGGGGCGAAGCAGAGTCAGAACACAGCATGGGCGTCCAGCACCATTTCAGAGCTAGTTCAGCAACAGCACAGAGTTATTACTGGCATATGAGGGGCTCTGTTCACAATAGTCCAGCTCATCATGGGCTTCATTAAGTACAGGCTAAAAAAAGAAATGCATGGATATCCCTATTACAGTCAAAGTCAGAAATGCTCCAAAATCTGCTATTTCCAATACCAGCATGATGCCACAGACTGAGGGTTCACTATACACAAACCTACTTTTGTGAATAAAAATTATAAAAAAGAATTGTACAAAATTATTGTCCTGGTTAGCCTTAGTTGTCAGCTTACAGCTTAGAGTCATCTGAGAGAAAAGGCCTCAGTTGAGGAATTTCCTAAGTCAGGTTGGTCCATGAGCATACCAAGGGACTGTCTTGATTATTATTGATTGACGTAGGGCCCAGCCCACTGTTGGCAGCACCATTCCTTAGGTGATTAGTCCTGGGCTGTATAAAAAAGTTAGCTAAGCATGAGCGAGGGAGCAAGCCAGAGATTGACCCGGCAAACAGCATTCCTTCATGGTTCCTGCCTTGAGTTCCTTCCCTAACTTCGTGCAGTGATGGGTTAGGACCTGGGAGTTCGAAGATGAAACAAACCCTTTCCTTCCCTAAGTTGCTTTTGGTCAGGGTGTTTTATCACAGCAACAGAAAGGAAACTAGAGCAGACTTCAGGTTATGCCGATAAGGTATGCATGAAGCATAAGCAAATTTGAGTTAAACTTGAATCCCATCCCCAAGATATTTCATTATTTACTTGCAAATATTTGAAAATTTGAAATATTTTTGGTACCAAGCACTTGCAAGAAAGAGTCTTTAACCTGTATTTTTTTTGGGTAGGCTAATGAACCCAACTCTAAAATATTACTAGAGTTGGGAGTTTAAGCGAAGCATGACAATGAGGTAGATGAGACAAAACCAAGACCTTGTAAGAAGCTTGATTTTAGTTGAGGGGGGAATGCTGAAAAAGCGTGTGGAAGATGTCACCCGTACATTCGTGGTTTTGAGACTGGGGGTGGGGCATAAAAGGCACAAGTTTGAAGAAGAGAGACAAATTATACCATGGTGGTTAAGATTCATCTTAAAGCTGACCAAAGCAATTATTCAGCAAATGTAATGTCATTTAAAGCCACCAGAATGACTAACATGAGAAAGGCTGGTAATACTAAGTGTTGTCAGGGATGTGGAGTGACCAGAACATTCATCCTTTACTGGAAGAGTTAGCTTTTGGGACTGAGGATATAGTTTGGTTGATAGAGTGCTTGCCTATCAAGTGCTGAGTTCAGTCCCTAGCACTGCATAAATTGGGTGTGGTTGTGCATGCAGAAGTTCAAGGTCATCCTTGCTGACATAGTGTGTTCAAGGTCAGCCTATGCTACATGACATTCTTTCTCAACAAAAAACTTTGCTTCTTACTAAATCTGAACTTCATCATCTCACTCTTAAATATACAACCCCAAAGATGACCCCATAAAGACACAAAAGGGAATGTTCCCAGAACACCATTTGTCATAGTCCAAATGGATAAATTATACTTACACTCATGCAGTAGCGTATTGAAAAAACACACATACTGCTGTTATTCAGGCAAATCTCATGAGCGTAATGCTGAGTGAAAGAAGCTGGACGCAGAACACAGGCTATAGAATCCTACCTGTAAAGTCAGCAAATAGGCAAAAACAACCCATTGTGATTCAGAATCAAGGTTGCTTTTGAGTATAGGATAATGATTGGGGGAGGGTAGGCTTAGTGTCTGGGTAGAGTTATATAGTATGATTTCTTTATAGTAGTCTTCCAAGCTTTGTACTTTGAATTTGTACAATTTTGTGAATTCTTAAAGCATGACATCAGTCTCATGTGACAGGGTGGGTGACAGTCCCCTGTGATAGGTTCAATGTATCTATAGAAAGAAGTCAGACTCCATGGTATCCAAGGCCCTTGTTGCTTCTGACTGCTCTGAGTGGCTATATAGGTGGCACAGCACAGGGACGTTAATAACCCCATAGTCATGGAAATCACCCCTTCCAGAAGTCCCCCATGAGAGATGGGCCCCCATTTTTTGACTCTGTAACTTGTACTGCCCCACCATGAGAAGTGGTTTCTTCCAAGAAGAGAACCCTCTTGAGAGGGGTACCTAATCTCTCCCTTTGCGTTCACAATGTCCTTGAAGTAGGAGGCAGAACAAGACAGATAGACATGCATATTCCACTAAGGTTATCATCAGAGGGATAAGGAAAAATATTTTCTTATGGAATACAGAGTACAGAGGACTGTCTAGAATTATATGGTAGAGCTCATGGGGAACACACACACCATCCTTCCTCTGCCAGTGCCTCTATTTCCCTCAGATGGTCTTACCCATACTTCATTTACATCAGATTTCCCTCAAGTCAAAAAGAAGACTTGGAAGAGTCCTTGGGTAGAAATCCCAAGAGAAGGATAAGTGGGTACCACTGCTCCTTAGAGATGTCTGCCCTTCCAGCTCCATGGGAAAATAGACTAAGATGGAATCCCAAACCTCCCATACCCTGCATTCTACTCCAACTCTGGTTTGAGATGAGGGATAAAGTTCCTTTATGATCTGATTGTGAAACTGCATTCATACCCCAGAGCCACATTCCAGCTGTCATCCAACTATTATAAAGAAGAACCTTTTTTTCCCAAGACAGGGCCTCAGAAAGCCAAGGCTGGCCTTGAACTCACTATGTAGCTAAGGATGACTTTGAACTTCTGATCCTCCCCTGCCTTCATCTCCTGAATTCCAGGATTACAGGTGGTGCACACCTTTAATCCCATCACTTGGGAGACAGAGGCAAGGGACTAACTGTGAGTTCAAGGCCAGACTGGTGTCCATAGTGAGTTCCAGGCCAGCTAGGGCCACAGGGAAACCCCGTCTCAAAAAGACCAAAAAAAAAAAAAAAAAAAAAAAAAAAAAAAAAACCAGGTGTATGTCACCACCATACCTGCTTTATAGTGGTAGGAATCAAACCTAGGGTTTGAATGCCAGGTAAGCACTCTACCAACTTAGCTATATCCCCATCCTTGAAAGGGGAATCTTTGGCAGATTCCTGCTGAAACTTTCCTCCCCTGGTTAAACCCAGAACTATATGTAGGGAGATGGTTACATACAGGCAACTCAGATAAATCATGAAATTCTGCACCCACACATAGGTGTCTCTATTCTCAAGATTCAAAAGAACAATTTGCTGTCTGAGAAGTGAAATCGAGCTCAAGGAGGTAAGTAAGATGGGACAAAGACTGACAGACTCTACACCGGGCTTTGCGTTCAAGGAGTAAAAAACACAACAGACCCCAGAGAGAAGCTGCTGGCTGGGATGCAGAATCATGAGGTGTGAGGCAGTTACTTCTCTGCAGCACACAGGGCATAGAGGCTGGTTCAGGACCCTTCCAGCTTCTGCTTCAAAGTCCTAGCACCATTCCTGGTCATCAAAACCTCCTTACCAGAAACTCAAGTCTTCACCTAATCCTAGTCCAAGCTTATTTTTATTTTTTTCCTTTTCTCCAAGCAGCTAATGCACTTAGCACTGAAATGATGTTTAAAATTGAACTGACTTCTGTATTTCATCAAATATAGATGTTTATTTATGTGCGTGCATATGTGCGTATGTGTGCGTTCATGTGAGTGCATACATGTGCCTGTGGAGGCCAGAGGACAACCTTGGTGTCATTCCACAATTCACCTTGGTTTGGGAGCAGGGGTTCCTCTCATCAGCCTGGAGCTCTTGGCCATCAATACCAAGGAATTCACCTGTCTCTACCTCCCCAGTGCTAGAATTATAAGCATTTGCCACCATCCCTGACTTTTTGCTTAGGATCTAAGGACCAAACTCCATTCTTTATGCTTATGCGGCAAGCATCTTACCAGCTGAGTGACTGTCCCAGACCAAATGTAAGACACGTATTTAAAAGATGCTCCAAGCTGACCATGGTAGCACATGCCTGTAATCCCAGTAGTTTGGAGGTGGAGACAGGAAAATGAGTTCACAGCCACCTTGCCTATGTAAGATCCTGTCTCAAACATATTCTATTCATATACTCTATTTTATTTCATATACTGCTAAAAAGTTCCCAATGAAAATATACTATCCACTATAAAATGCACCTCGATTCAAAGATGGAGAAAGTGTTTTTTAAAACGCACTTATTAGAATCAATCACACAACCATTACTTGGGAAGAAGTCAGAGAATGGGAAGTCACAAGCTTTTTGGCTTTGAAAGATTGTGCATATGAATGAACAAGCCTTTGATATTAATATATGGAAATCTCTGAGTTTCAAAGATTGGGCTTCTTCACTTACAGCACCATTATGTTTTAGGTAGTATATTATGAAGTATTATAAAGACCTGTCAAAATATCTCTGCAAGCCATTTTGAAAGAGTGACATATTAAAAGGTCATGAGTTTAACATGTTTAATGTATACTTATATTTAAAGTGTCTTAAAAATGTTGTGAATAAGAAATAGCTTCACAATCAGGAACAAAACTCCTCAAAGCGTCAACATCTTTGTAATGCTTGACTCAATAAACTTTTTTTGCCTCTTTGCATTTGAAACAGATTTTTGAATTTTATGGAGCTGATGTTAAAAAACTGGAAGAGAAGATTCAAGAACTAATGTAAACTGCCGTCCAAAACCAAATATACCTGTGGACATTTTCCAAAGCAGCAGTAAATGTGTTTGTGTTTTCATTTTCGGCAAACCTTGTGGCTCTCTCTCTCTCTCTCTCTCTCTCTCTCTCTCTCTCTCTCTCTCTGTGTGTGCTTACCTCTGTGTGTGTGTGCATGTGTGTGTGTGTGTGTGTGTGTGTGTGTGTGTTATGCAGGAGTGCGGCATTGCAATCCTCTTCTGGGTTGCTTACTTGCTTAACATTGTTGCAGTAGCAGAACTGTGTCACTTCCACTGTCTGCCTGCCCTCGCCTTGCTCTGGGCATATTGCTTGGGCAATGTTTTTGTGACCTTCACATCAGAGACTCTGAACAGCTAAGTAATAGCAGGTCATCAAAACGTTCTGAGAGAATCAAGGATGCAGTTATTCACATGATCACAAAATCTGATGGTGCTCAGCATGCTTCTGTTTTGGGGGGTGATTCTGTTTTGTTCTTTTTAGAGCCAGAGATCAAGCCCAAGAACTTGCACAGCCTAAGCAAGCACTCTGCCTCTGAGCAGCAGCCCAACTGGGAGAGCTACCCTTATGCCTAGATTCTTAGTTATATAATAACTCTATTTTCTTATGTAATAATAACTCTATTTTCTTATGTATAATAATGTCATTCTTTTTGTTTTTAACTACCAGCCACACTCCTTGCTTAATCAAATTAAGGGTCAAAAAAATTCCAGATTATTTTATCTGTGCTCTCATTTTAACAAGTCATTTAAAGAGCCTGAGGTATGATTTAGTGGTAGCCAACACTTGCTTGTAATTTTCAAAGTTCTGGGTTCAGTCCCTAGCTCTTAAAGAAAAAAGGAGGAGGGGGGAGAGGGGGAGAGGAAGGGAGGAAGGTAGGGAGGGAAGGGAGGGGAGGGACAGAAGGAAGGAAGGGACAGAGGGACGAGGGACACATGACAGGAGCAGAGGGAATCGGAGGGCAGGGGAGAAGAGGGGAGAGGATTGAGTTATGCATGAGAATTTTAAAGTAGGCACGGTAGTGCACACATTTACTTTCAGCATTTGGGAGGCAGAGGTAAGTGGATCTCTGTAAGTTAGAGGCCAGCCTGGTCTACATAGTGAGTTCCAAGTCAACCAAAGCTACATAGTGAGACCTTGTCTCGAAAAAAAAAAAAAAAGTCATACTTTAGTAGGGGCTGAAGAAATGGCTCAGTGGTTGAGCATTTCCTGCTCTTTCAAAGGACCCAAGTTCAGTTCCCAATACCCACATAGTGTCTCACAGCTGCCTTTAACTCCAGTCCAGGGGGTCTGCTGCCCTTTTCTGGCCTCCGCAGGCACCTGCATGCATGTGATGCACAAACACAAATACACATAAATAAATAGAATAAATCTTTTAAAAAAGAAAGAAAATTGCAACTCTCAAATCAGAGATTAAAAGTGGATGTTGATTCCCAAAATACTTTTTGTCCCTTAAATAAACATTTTTCATAATACTTTGCATCTTTCTAGCCCAGATACTCACCCTTGGGGGTGCAGACAGCAGCCTTTATGGAGTAAAGAGACTGAGCGCTGCTCTTTTTTAATATGTATGGGTGTTTTGCTCATATGTATGTAAGTGCACCACACACATGCACCACCCGCAGAAACCAGAGGAGGGAGTCAGATCCCCTGGAACTGGAGTTACTGATGATTGTTGGTTGCTATGTGGGTGCTGGGAACTGACCTCAGGTCACCTGTAAAAGTAACCAGTGTTCTCCCCCATCCCCTTGTGCAAGATTTTATTAAATGTCTTTACAGAGCAACACCCAGCCTTCAGATGCAGCTGCCAAGACCCCATTATGTTGTAGGCACTGGCTGGGGCATGGCCAGTGACTCTGGCTTCCCACCCTTCTGTTCTAATCTCATCTTTAGGTTCCATGATGTTCACATGGTCATGCAGGAGCTTCTAAGGGCCCTTACCACCTGGATCCCAGGGCATCATGATCTTCACTTTGATGTTCAGCACACCTTGTCTGAGTAGTACATGGCACACTGCCATGTCGAGGTACTAGTTAACAGGGTCTTCACTGTGGATCATCAGGCCATCCACATACTTCATGGACTTAGTCCTCTGTCCTTAGAGCTTCCCAGATACCACAACCTCGTAGCCCTTGGCTCCACTCTCCATAATGAACCGCAGCATACCATAGCAGGCCTTCAGCACAGCAAGCCCTCCTGGGAGTTTGTAACATAGAGACTCTACCTGGCCTATGGCACACAGACCTCTTGTGGCCACCTTTGCTGGCCTTGCCACAGAGCAAGAGCAGAAGATTCCATGTCCTATAGGATTTGTTAAGTCTTTGGGTCAGATTCGGGCTAGTGGAACAGGACAAAAATTTTCACTCAACCAAATCAAGAATCCAGTGGGACCTGAACCTGTTACTTCCTACCCATTCTCCACACATGCCAATCTACCTAACCCAGATGACTCCCTACCTGGGAGGAAGTCTGAAGCCAACCAATTCTACAACATCTAGCTGTGCCCAGGGAGGTCTGAACTAGAATGAGGCCCTGGGCCTAGACCAGCACTGGCAGCATCACAGGTGAGTGACTGTGCCTGCGTGCTTGGCTAAGGCTTCACACATATCCCAGAGCACAGGCCACTGTAAGAAACAGAAGTTGAACATTACACAGCTGATCATAATAGGTCAACATGTGAAGTTTCAACATTGCTGCTTTGTGTAGCTGTAACATACCACAGACTGGTCACATTCTGAGGAAATATATTTATTTGTTACTGTACTGGAGGTTGGAAAATGAGGTTCCAGGACACCAGCATCTGCCCACGTAGAAGGCAGAGAGGCAGAAGGGAGTGAAGAATGAATGTCACGGCCAAATGTGGCAAACAACTTATGAGTTACCAGCCCCCAGGCATGTCTCCTCCTCTGCATGTTGGAGCAGGCAGGTGTCTAGTTTTCCTCACTGCTGTTTCACCTCAACTTTCCACTTTTAACAGTGGAACAGTACATACCTCAGAATACAAAAGAAGCTACTGAAAAGAGTGGCTCCAGTACCCACTCACCTCAGCAGCTAAGGCCTAGGGTAATTTCACTTGCCTCAAAGCAGGGGCTCCCGTGCTTGTCTAATGCCAAGTTGTAGCCTTTTAGTTTTTAACCAGTTCAATTTTTGCTTATCAAACACTACCATTTTCCATTAATGCAATCCATGAGTGAACAGTTTCTTAAAAGGAGAAGTTTTGGAGGGTGTCTACCATATAGTGATAGGAGGCATTATTTCATGAAACTTGCTTAGTTACTTATAAGAGGCTCTTGCCATCAGATATATTTCTTATTGTGACTTCTCGTGAGTCCAGTCTGAAAGCCAATAGGAGAGGACCTCACCTGTGTTAGGATGGCCTAATACCAAGAATCTCAAAGTAAGGATATGGGACAAGAAGGCACACTCACTTCAGACCCTTCTAGATGCACCAAGTCAGAATCCATGGGGTACAAGTGGGGACATGGGAAATCCAGATGGTTCTGACATACACACTTGGGCTAGTGAGTCACATCTCAGGATCACATTAGGGAACCCGCTATGATGGTGCATGTCTTTAATTCTAGAACTCCTAGAACTCCTAGTTGGGGCAGGATGATTGCAGTGAGTTTGAAGCAAGCCTAAGTTACAGAGCAAGACCTTATCTCCAAGACCAAGGGCAGGAAGTGTAGTTCAGTGGTTGAGCTTCCATCTAGCATGTGCAAAGCCTTGGTTTTTATCCTCATCCCTATAGAATAAATAAATAAATACTGAAAAAGACACCAAAATAAATAAATAAATAAATAAATAAATAAATAAATAAATAAATAAATAAATAAATAAATAAATAATCTGTGACTTGTAGTTATTAAATGTGTCTTTAGGGCTCATTAATTAAAATTTTTATTTATTTTCATTTTGTGTGTATGATTATTTTGCATGCATCTATGTAAGTGCCTGCAATGCCCACAGAGGCCAGAAAAGGGTGTTGGATCCCTGGAACTGGAGTTATCAATGGCTGTTAGTCACCATGTGGGTGCTGGGAACCAAACCTGGATCCTCTACAAGAGCAGACAGTACTCTTAACCACTGTACCATCACTCTAGCCCCAGTGCTTATTATTTAAAAAAATAAAATGGGCAGGACCCGCCCCGCAGGCCTCTCTCCTACCCGCAGGCCTCTCTCTGGGTTAAGTCCATTGCGCCCTCCACACCTTGACTCCCCCAGCCTCATTCACCCTCCCATGTCTGCTGCCCTTCTCTCTTCTGAGTTTGGGTCCTGCTCCATTCCTCATCTTGGGGCCCCAGACACCTGGAGAACCAATACTGCTCCCTAATCCTTTTCATCCAGACCAACATAGTGCCTTCTCTGGGCCCCAGGAGCACTGCTTCTGGGCCTGGCCCCACCCTCACCTCCCTCTGCTTCCCTGGGCCTGCAGGACCTGCCACAGCCTCTCTCCTACTGGCAGGCCTCTCTCTGGGGTAAGTCCATTGTACCCTCCACGCCTTGACTCCCCCAGCCTCATTCACCATCCCATCTACACCGTAGTTCTCTCCTCCGAGTTTGGGTCCTGCCCCATTCCCTGTCTTGGGGCCCCAGGCACCTGGGGAACCAATATTGCTCCCTGATCCTTTTCATCCAGACCAACATAATGCCTTCTCTGGGCTCCGGAGCACTGCTTCTGGGCCTAGCCCCGCCCTGAACTCCCTCTGATTCCCTGGGCTGGTGGCACAGCCACCAGCTTCACTAGACCAGCAATATTTCCTGAGCCAGGCTCCCAGGCCAGTCCAACCCCCAAATCCCTGAGGCCAAAATCGTTCCTGGAGGGATCCAGACCTTAGGAGAAAACCTGAAAACATCTGACCCTCACCTGAATTGGGCCTCTCTGGGAACGCCTGAACACAAAAGCAATCCGGCCACTCCAATATAAAATTAAAAAGAGAACCGGAAGCTTAGAAAAACAAGCTTTTCATGCCCCAAAAGTAAACCACAAAGACA